CAATGTGTTATCTATTTCTGACAATTTAGCATTAATCTTCTGGATTTCTATCTCTAGATGTAGAATGATTTTTAATTTTTAATTTATTTTGTCATTTTGTTCTTGTATTTTCTTCCAAAATTCTTCTAGGGTTTAGTGTGTGTTTTCCTTGGTCTGTCTCTCAATCCTTTAATGATACCTAAATATAATTCTTTTTGAATTCCCTGTCAGAGAGTTCCAATGCTGCATCTTCCTCAGGGATGTGTTCTGGGTCTGTGTCCTGTTCCCTTGTTTCTACCACTTTATTTTGCTTCTTTGTGTGACTGTAATGGTGGTGTGTTGTATCCAAGACATTGCAGTGGTGTTGTATTCAGATCTCTGTTAACTGTTTGTGAGGAGCAGCCAAGTTTGAGTCAGCCTCTTCTTGGTGGTTGTTTATCATTGGCCTGTTGGTGCAGAAGGAAATGGTGGCTCTCACTCAGTAAGTGAAGCTGCAGGAGGTGTGGGTTAAGGTATGTCGTGTGGGGACAGTTGCTGTCTTCCACTCAGTTAGACAAAAATAACAACTGAATAACCATCAAAAAAGTAAAAGCAAATGGACAAAAAATACACCATGTAATCACACAGGAACAGTAACCAAAAAAAACAAAACCCTCCAATATCTCAGGAGAAGGCAATAAGAGTAAAAAGGTAGAGAAGGAGAATAATGAAGAAAAAACTGGGAAAAATGCAAAAAGAAAAACAAGGAATGGGGTCAACAATGAGAAAGAAAAGAATTGCACCAGGAACAGGGAAAAGAAAGTAAGCTGAGAACCAGAACCTGGGAGGGGAAGAATAAAGAATAATAATAAAAAGGACAATAATAATAATAATAATAATAATAGTTTTAAAACAGCCAAAAACAAACAAACTAAAAAACAGAGGAAAGAAAAAAAATAAATAAATCAGGGCAAGGCAGGGCATCCAGGCTCCATCTGAGCACACAGACTGGGATGGAATTCCTGCTGGCCCAGAAAGTGTGTGAGAGTGATGGATGGCTGCACCTCCATTCACTAAAAGGATGTGGGGTATAAGAGTAACAAGGGGAATGTCGCATCTTTCCAGTCATCCGTTTTCATGCAGATTCTTCTACTAGTTGGAGTTTAGTCCACTTCTGTATCCTTCCCTTCAAGGCTCAGGGGTCCAGGATTATCTTCTGTATCTGTGTTAACTGGTTCCCCTTTTCTTTGTTGAAGAGGGTCTGTGCAGTCTTTCTGCCTATTCTGCCATATTACCGGAAATCTCCTAAAGTCCCTATTTCTAAATAAGATCAAATTCACTGGACAGGGGTTAGAACTTCAACATATTTTTGTGGTGGTACACAATTCAAGTAATAACATCCTGTTGATAATTTACCATCACCTGAAATAAGACCTGAAAACTAATGACTAAGAGTTAGAATCCCAGTTCTGCCCTCTATAGGTATGATCATGGCCAAGTTCCTTAAGCTCTCTGTGTATCTGTTAACTTATCTGTTTAATGTCAATAATAATAGTACCTCCATTACTGGGTTGCTGTGAGGAAAATATAAACTAATACATATAAAGGTTAAAAACTGCTTGAACTGCTATAATTACTCATTAAATATTAGCATTAATATTGTCATTGTTATAACTTAATGTCTCATGTCTCTCTAGATAAACAACTGTGATTAATTCTACTGGTGAGAGTGTGGGGAAGTTGTCCTTTTCATACATTACTGAAGAGAATATAAAATGGTGTAACATTTATGGATGACTGTGGCAATATTGGTCACAATATATTTTCTTTACCCAATTATTCTACTTCTAAGTTTTTATCCTACATAAATATTTACACATGTAAAAAAGGATAATTCTTATTATTTGAATCACAGTCTTTGTATGTACAACCTGAGTCTTTGGGTGATGTAAGCTATTAACATGGTTGACTGTTAGTAGAAAAGTTGGAGGTTCAAGTCTAGACAGAGAAGCCTTGGAAGGAAGTCCTGGCAATGTACTTCTAAAAAGTCAGCCATTGAAAACTCCAGGGAGCACAGTTCTACTCTGATGCACATAGGATCACCATGAGTCAGTGTCAACTCAAGAACAACTGGTTTACAAGATGTACAATCTAGTCCAAATTTTTAAAGTAAGATTAATAAATGTTTTATGCTTTGTCTATATCTGGCCCATAGCCTAGCACAATGCCAGACACAGAGACATTGACAAATTCCCTTTTATTAGCCCAGAACAATTTCTTGTGGTCTTCGTGTCCGTGCCTATGTCATATAGGTACCATACGCTAGAATGATGCTTTTTCCTAAACCACTCATGTCAAACTCTATCTTGTGCCAACCAATTTTGTACTTTGTCTTCCTCTTTATTCTTGAGTTTGCTTTCAAAATGACACATCCTCTTTTCATTGCAGCTCTGACCTTGGCTCCTCTCGATGACGATTCCTGATTTGTGGCCCTGGCAACCTTGGGGAAACATCATCTGGTTTCTTCCATCCAGACCCCGGGCCCTCCTCTCCCCAGTGTCACCCCCACCCAGCCTGGATACATTGACTGAACCACATTCTAGGACACTTGTAAGTAAACTGCTTTACTCTGTCATTAAAATAGTTCATATAACCACCCCCTCTCCCACCCTTTTCACTCTGGGTCATGATTTTGTTATTCTTAAAAGTTATTACAGTTCTCTTCTTTTCTGGAACTAACTGCCTATTCCATAGTTGATAATCCAAAATTCATTATTTTTTTTTAATCACTGACTTATTCAAGGTGGTAGCCAGTAGACTCTGAGAATTGAGAGGCACAAGCCTTTGTTCTCCTCCTATGTGGCTCTATTCAGGGTGACTTGTCTCTGACTTGGGTTGGAGACTAAATGGATTAGAATAAAACCAATTTAAGGGAGAAAAAGAAATGTTTACAGAAACAGAAATAGAGATTCCTGCTATCTTGGCTGCCTAAGATCTGCAGGACTCACCAAGGAATTTAAAAAGTAATGTTTCTTATCATAAGTGACAGAAATATGCTGCTTTCTGCATCAGTAGATATGAAGATTAAAGGGTCTGACCATATTAAACAATTTTGCACAGCACCAGGCACTCTGGGCTCTGCTGTCTGCCTTATTACTCTTCATCTTGTGGCTATTTCAAGCCCAATTTAAGAATACAATGCAGCCTGGCTTTGCAAATTGACATCCTTTAATTTAAACTGTCTTGTGGGAGAATTAAGAAATTATGGAACAATTATTCGTCCTCAGCTGAAAGCTGGATGGCATCCTGCGATCCTTGTACATTAGCCATTTGAATTGATTATGTCACATAATTGAATTACACCTTTGCCCCCATAATATCTTGTTGGTGTTTCGTGTTGGAAAATGCTTCCATAAAAATAGAATTGGGGTTGGGGTTACAGATTAAACTGGGTGTCAAAGAAAACCTCAGAGCAGAGTGGACTGACACATTGAGATTTTATGTGGGAGGTCGATTAGCAGAGCAAGCATTCCATTTGGAGTTTAAATGGAAGTTCACAGATCAAAACTGTATGCATGATGTAATATGCACCCTTCTCCAGTCTTTGCATTGTATGTCAATGTTTAGTTTAAGTATCTACTGCTCATTCTCAAAGTATTTTCTAACATTCCCTCATGATCAAAAAGATTGGATGTATTAGCTTCTTAGGGCTGCAGTAACAAAATATCATATATTGAGTGGCTCTTAAGAACAGAAATCTATTGTCTGACAATTCTGGAGGTTAGTAGTTCAAATTCAGGGTATCAGGAGAGCACTGTTCTCTGAAGGTTCTGGAAGAGCTCCTTTCTTATCTCTTTCACTTTTTGATAGCCCAGAATTCCTTGTATTAAAGCGGCATCCTAACTCCATCATCACCTTGCCATCTTCCCTTTCTGTTTCTGTGTCTCTCTTTTTTATAAGCACAGTACTTATAATGGATTAGGATTTACCCTACTCCAATATGACTTTGTGCTAACTTTACTGATAATATCTTCGGACTCTATTTCCAAACAAGGTCATATTTACAGGTACCAAAGGTTAGGACTTCAGCATAAATTTTTTCAGGATGTAATTCAATCCCTAACACTGGGTATGATGTAACTTGCTTTACTTTACAAGTTTACAATTACTTCAAGCATAACCCCTTCCACAGTGCTACCATAGTCTTCCATACCAGGCAATGAGTCGGAGGTATGATCATATCCAGCTCACTTAGGCTAGAATCTGGTATCCAAGACTGCTCAATAATTGTTTCTTGGATGAGTTTTCATTTGAAAGTATTCATAGTTTAGTTTCTAAACTCTATTTTCTTTTGTAGAATGAGGGTAGGTAGGCAGATGGGATCTGTTAGTAATGAAAGCATCATTCTTAAGTAGGGGGATTTGTACTGCCTAAGTCATTAAAGCAGGCAGAGCTGGTTCAGTGGCAGAATTCTCACCTGCCATGAGGAAGACTGGAGTTTGATTTCCAGCCAACAAAATGCATGTACAGCCATCACCTATCTGTCAGTAGAGGCTTGTGTCTTGCTATAATGCTGAAGAGGTTTCAGTGAAGCTTCTAGAATATGATGGACAAGGAAGAAAGACCTGTCAATTTACTTCCAAAAATCAGCCAGTGAAACGCTATGGATCACAACAGTCTGATCCACAGTGGATCATGAGGATGTCGCAGGACCAGACAGTGTTTCATTCCATTGTGCATGTGGTTGCTATGAGTCAAAGTCCAACTTGACAGGGGCTAACAACATGTCAATGGAAAATTTCTTCAAAGATTCATTAAACACCAATTCTATCTATTTAACAACATTCATTGTTGTTGTTGTCGTTATGTGCCGTCGAGTCGGCCCCGACTCATAGCGACCCCTCCTTGGGTTTCCGAGGCAGTTTCACTACGGAAGTAGATTGCCCCATTTTCCTTCTGAGGAGTGGCTGGTGGGTTTGAACCGCCAGCCTTCTGGTTAGCAGTCAAGTGCTGAGCCACTATGCTACCAGAGCTCCTGACATTAGCACCTATTATATACTAGAAAGAACAGTGATTAAGCGCTCACTGCGCTGGTGGCTTAGTGCCTAACGCATTTGACTACTATCCAGAAGGCTGGCAGTTCAAACCCACCAGCCACTCCTCAGAAGGAAGGTTGGACAATCTACTTCCATAGTGATACCGCTTCAGAAACCCAGGGAGGGGTCACTATGAGTTGGGTGCAACTCAACGGCAGTGAGTTTAGTTTTTTTTTTTTTTTTTTGGTGCGTTAATGAAAAGGTCAACAGTTGAAGCCCACCAGACACTTTGTTGGGGAAAAGACCTAGTGATCCGCTCCCATAAAAATTTCTGCCTAGGAGACTCTCTGGGGCAATTCTATTCTGTCCTATAGGGTCTTTTGAGTCAGAATCAACTAGACAGCACACAACAACAGCAACTTATATACTAGACATAAAGCTGGATGTTGAGAAAAAGAAATAGACAAAGCATATTCCTTATTCTTTGCAGGAGCTCAGAATTCAGTTGTGGATTAGGGAAATCTATGCCAGAAACAGCCCTGAAAGAGCTGACTGAAAGAGCAGGCAGGAAAGTGTTGAATAGCCCAGGACTATGAGAAGGGGTGATGGTACATTGCATTTCATTCCTCCACTAAAGCTTACACTGCTGTTGGTCTGCCCTCACCTCCATCTCCTCCCACATCATACTTTTTGGAACCCAGTAGAGAAGAAAATTCTTAGACTAACGTCTTGCGGTCAGGCTATATGTGTGCTTTCATTTGGAAAGTCCTCCAAAGGAGAGAGATTTTAAACTACTGCTCCCGCCCCCAACACACACACACACACACACACACACACACACACTCCCAACTCTTCACCATACTCTGCAGCTTTCTGGGACTTCTTAATCTTTGTCTATTCTGTATGGCACAAGAATCTCGCTCTCTCATTTTAAAAGCTCTGTGCCTTTTCTTTACCTTTATCAAACAACACTCTTAGAGCTTTAAAACCCAAGGATGGCTATCCTTCTGGATACATCTGTGTGGAAAGGATTAATCAAGTCTGTCACACATTGAGCTGTAAAACCTTTAATATTTCTAAAAGGTTTAAAGTCTGCATATTTATCACATGGATCTTTCTTTTTACATAAAAAATAAATAAATGCTCACTGTAAGATATTGCAATGAGCACAGTGGGTGAGAGGCTCATGTGGAGGCCCAGTTGTGATATTGGGATGTAGATTCTGGTTAAACCCTTCTCTGGCATCACTCCTCTAGAAACTACCCATCACTCACCACACATCTGTTTGTATGCGTTTGTTATATTTGGTGATTTCAGAATCTTGAAGCTCAAAGGGAAAGAGAATGGGAAAAGGGACTAATTTTTGTTGAATCTCGGCTCTGTTAGGTTTTGCCTCTGCATGCTTAAGTGGATTGCCACCTTTTAATTCCCACAACAGTCCTTTACAGTAGGCACTATGATAGCTGATTTATAGACAAGGGAACTAAGATTCAAAAAATGAAGCAATTGTCTCAAGATCACATAAATATTCATTTTCAAATCTGGAATTTGACCTGAAACATATTTTATTATAAAGGCCATGATCTTTCATTCTGTTTAAATGACAAATACCTAGTAAATGCTTGGCACACAGTAGGTACACAATAAAGAATTACCAAAGTTGTTTTTTCTGTTTGCATTATGGTTCCTATTAATGAAGGATTTTTATTCAATACACATAAAGACAGTAAAGGTTGTTGGGCATGATACGTGGAATCTGAGATGTGTGTTTTAGGATGATTAACCCAGCAATGGTAGTAGTATTCATTAGAGGAGGGAGACACTCATTCAGGACTTTTTATTAATATAGCTAATATAAACACTGTTTCATTATTTGTAGAGTACATTCACATACACCTCTAATTTAAACTACTCGACAATCTTGTGGAATAGATTCCAGCACTACTGACATTTTACTGATGGAGTAACTGAGGTCTAAAGGCATAAGTCTAAGCCAGGTTATTCAGCTAGAACTAACCAAGGTGATGCTTGAACTCTGGTCTTCCAAAGTCAAAGCCACCATCATTCTACTGTAATGCAGTATATTTGAACTCTTCATTTTTTTCTAAGAACTTACAAAGCAAAATAAAGTTTTGAAGCTGGAAAGGATCTAGACACCCATCACTCTCACTTTGCAGGTTTCACATTTCAGTCCCAGACACTGAAACTAGTGTAACAGGAGACCACGCACTGTGCTCTGATAACAGAGAGGAAAGATCAATGAGTTTGGATGGGGATGGATGGTATAAAACCAGGGGTGGTTTCCCTGTGGAGAACTCACAGTGATGTCCTGAAAGGAGGAGATGGATCTTAGTAGAGAAAGAAGATTCAACATATAATGCTGAAACAGAAGAAATAAACTACTGTGTGGCAAAATGACAACATGTTGGTCCCAGGGGCGGGGGCCCTACATGGAAACCTAAGTTTGTTGTTTCAATATAATTAGTTGTATAATTGCATTCCAAGCCTGCCTCCCTAGTTGCTCACACATATGTGGAATTAAACCCCATGCCAACCAAGCAGTGCCTCCACTTT